CCTGCCAATACAAGTGCTGGCTGTTGCATGCAACTTTTGCCACTGAAATTGATATCAGCAGCAGTCGTCACCGCGGCCAGAAAGACGTCACAAGCCTGCGATGCGTGCAGCTCTCGCTGGTTCCGTTTGTTGCATGAATATGCAATATCAAGTTTTACGCGTTATCTCGAACTGCATGCCCCACACACCCAGCTTGATTAAAAATTGTATCGACATTCCTAGAAAGGTTGTAAAGAGCTTATTGGAGGCTCAATAAAAAATATAAGAACATATTTTAAGGTGCACTTTGACTTTTTGCAGAATTGCAAAAATAATTAATACTGAAATGCATTTTTAAAGATTAAAAACTTCATTTTAGTAATACTAGTATGCTGTTACAATTTTAGAAATCTTGCAGCGAATGGATAATTTCTCATGTGACTCTAATCAATTTAAATGAAATAAATTGGTATTCATTACTTAGCAATTTTTTCTCTAGGAGTTCTTTGTCAAATATTTCATTAATTGTATCAGAAACATAATACCGATGTTTTCTATGAATAGTCCACGTAATGCCAGCTTCGACTTCTTTAATTTATGTTTTTAATATAAAAAAAATCAAATTTGTAATATTTGAAATCAATTTAATGGAATTATACAAAGTAGCATGCGCCTAAAGCTTGCAATGTATTGTAGTTATTATTGAGATTATTCTATCAAATGCTGCTAATATAGCAGATTTGTAAAAAATGAAGTTGCAACAATTTGTTAGCTATATACAAGTAGATCTATTTAAAAGCCACTGAAGCCATAAAGCAACTGGCTTTTAATTTCTCTCACAAGTCAAAAAATAATTGGTGGTGCGTCCCATGGCAGCAATATGAGTACTATACATACTTTCAAGAACTAGATGAGGATCAATCTTAGAACACTCATTGAGCTTTCGCACAATATAAAGCTGTTTGAATCATTTTCAAGCTTGCATTTTCATGTTTTAGATTTTATATATTATACCCACTCGTATAGAACAAGCAGTAAAATAAAATTGAAGGTTCGTTTGAATTTCAATTGCAATATTCCAAAAAAGAGTCTATTATTGTTTCCCAGTTTTTATTATAAAGGCTCGCGCCTTTCGAGCACCAAACATTAATCCACATGATTTGACAAATAACTCTTTATTCAGTTTATTTGTTATTTGTCGATTGAATCGTTGAACAAATTCATTTGCGTGCTCTTTTCACGATGACCTTCAGTTGCTCGCACATACATCCTTACAGAGTACATTCATAGATACGAGTTTTCCCAAGGAGCTGCCCACAATGAAACTTAAGCCATTGCCAACACTCCAACACTTGGCCACAAAATATCTTCAGGCTTTCTCTTTGCATTTTCACATTTGCCATAGTCGCGACCATCTTTTCCGTCGCCACTGCCACCAACACCACCAACGCCACCACCAGCACCTTCACCACCGCGCCCGCTGACAATGACGACGACGCTGCTCCTTTCTAATACGCTTTTGGGCAAAGTAACAGTTGCTAAAATGTTTTCTATTGTTTTCACGCTCAACAAAAGGCAGACAATTAGTTTTCTTAAGCGACAAATCAAGTAGAAATTAAGTGGTGGCGGGCAAAGGCGACGATGTTGTGTGTGTGCGTCTATGTGTGTGTCTGTTTGTACAGCTGAAGGTGGTGGTTGGGTGGTGAGTGGGTGGCTACGGGGCGCGCAAATGATAACAAAACAAAAGTAGATTATTGGCTCTTGAGCGCATAAACAAAGCCACATGTTACAGTAAAAAAGTATGTATGTGCGTGTGTGTGTATAGATGGACGAGTATGTTTGCTCGGCCCATGCTATGGACATTACGAGTATTGCAAAGCCGCTGAGGAATTTGTGCTGTTCCACTCGAATACCTAACAGGCGATGATGGACGATATTTGTGGTAGCTTGAGCGCTGCAAGGACCTCCAAATCTTAACAGTGGCAGCCACCATTGCTAACAGCCACGCGTATAACACAAATACTTGCTATAAATGCTGTACAAATCTGATGTTTGCCATAAAACTCTAAAAATACACGCTTGTCGTGGACACAAACCAATTCGAAGTTGTGCGACGCGCATGCCTGAGCATGTTGAGACACGAAGCAGCGAAGCGAGCACGACAGTCAGGCATCCCAATGCAGACGGTTCGTGTTTGGGGACGAACCTGAATCGTTCGCTTACTGAAGGACTCGGAGCGGCCGCAACGCAACTGCGACGCTGGCAGAATAACGGTAAGCGACCGATGTGTTGACTATTTTTGAAGCGGACGAACGCGCTTCGCATTCAGTTTGAATTGTGTCCTCGTATAGAAAGGATATTCGTTACATTGTTGTTAAGTTGTTATTATAATTTCTCAAACAAACCAACCAACCAACAACTAAAAAAAAGAAACCAAAATCGAGCAACACACATACAAAATATCCAACATAAAAAGCATAGAAAAGCGCTCTTCAGTCATTCACAAGAAAGAAAGAAAGAAAAATATATAAATAAACGGAAAGTAAACTCGCAAAGAAAGGCCGAAGAAGCAGCAGCGAAAAGTAAACGACGCGTACAAAAAATAAATAAACAGTTGAACGAGTTAAGCGGCTGCAAATTGAATTAAATATAATCAAAATTTAAAACAAAAAAGTAATTACAAAGTAATTATAAAATAATGCAATTAAGCTAAAGCAAGTGCTACTACAAATATTTTTATACGCAAGCAAATCCATATTTCTCGATTTTCTTTCCCAACAATACAGTGAATATTTTGTTTAACATTTGTATTTATATCATTTATATATAATTTTATACTTTATATAATTATTTTTTTTGTGTACAATTCAGTGCATGGACAGTTTGGTTTGAAAGTTATTCAATGTTTCCAATACTCTGAAGTGTTTGAACAATTTGTTAGCATACATTTTTGGGCAAGTGATATTGAAGTGTTTGAAAAAGTTTATAGTATAGTTTTGTGCGCAGCTGTTGAGGACTTTCATTTTTATGCCGCTTGCTGTTGGTATTTTTTTTATTTTAGATTCTTACATCCATTAAATTCCAATTTTTTAAAGTTGAACCTATCGAAAAAAAGTACCTTACTTTTGAAAATTTGTATTGCAGTGAAGTTTTGTGCATTCGCCTCTCGTTGTCGTCATCGTTTTTATCGTCACCACCACAACCAGCATCGATTTTGTCTTATTTACATAGACGACGACTTTTGCGTGTATGTATTTTCGTTGTCGCTGTTTTTGTACATAATGTACAATGGCAACAGCAATAGCAATAGATACAACAACACCGCTTTTTGCCACTCTTCGGCTTATGTGGCACATAAACCGACAACGAGCAGCCAATAAATGCTGCCAGCCAGCCGACACAGCACACAGAACACAGAACACACACACTCATGCAGTCACATAAAAAGGCGTGCAGTCGTATGTGTGTGGGCATGGATTTGATACACACACTCACATACACAGTTCAGTTGGATGGCAACGAATGCTGTGTGTTGTGTACTTTTCGGCGTTTTTCATGCATTTTTGTAGAGCATGTGTGCTTGTGTGTCTTGGCATTTAGAAATAAAAATATAAGTTTATACTCGTATTTATACATAACATTTGTTTGACTGCCTGCCAGCTTGCCTGCCAGTCTCTTCGTCAGTCTGTCCGTCTGTCCCTTTTGGCTTTGCTATAAAAACCGGAAGCGTTAGACTGACGGCGCTGAGGCTAAAGTTGAAGCCGATGCTCAAAACTGATGCTGACGCTTCTGTGGCTGTGTTTGACACTTGCCAACACTTGGGGCGTGCGAGTTTTTGTGTTCTCTGCTCCCATAAAAACGCTGCGTGCATATCTGTGCGTGTGTTTGTGTGTGTGTGTTTTTTTTTTTGGTGTTTGCTGCTTTTATTATTATTGTTATAATTTTTTCTTTGCTGTTGTTGTTGTTCTTGTTGCTAGCTGACGACTGGCATGTTCTTGGTTGTCTGTTTTTGGCACTTACGCATTGCGTTTCGTCTGCCTTCCTGTTCCGCTTTTGTTGCCTGTCGAACTGCCAGCTCATAACTTTTTATTTCTCGGCCTTCCCAAGCAGGCCATGAAGAGAAAGAGCACGCACGAACAAACGCACGCAAATCGTAAAATATTAAATTTAATTTTTCAAATGATGTGTGAATGGCTTAGGCTTGATATATGATAATGGCTGTTCAGCTTCGCTCTCGTTTCTGCTTTGGTGGCATAAAAAATAACTCAGCGCGGCATAATTTGTTATACTTCGAGTATACTCGTATGTGCGAATTGCAATTATGAAAACGCACTCACAATACAAATGTGTGAGTGTTGTAGAGAAAAGGCTTCAGTTACCAGAATCGATGAAACATTGAAAATATTGTGGCTCAGCTTAATTTGGAAAAATTATCCATTGTAATGATTTTTACGAATCTGAGGAAATGATAGAAATTTGTAAATAAATTTTCGCTCTGCAACAGCCTCAAGTTTTGTAGAGATTTAATTGTTCATATAATTGATAAACCGAGAGGTCTACTTCTAATATACAACTACGTTTTTGATTGCATTGTTAAGGCTCATTCAACCTTCTAGTCATACACAACAGAAATGACACCAAAAACATACCTATAATATTAAAAAAATAAAAATAAAATCTGAGCGAGTAATCAAATTATGTTTTATTAAATATTGATGAAAATGATAATCATCTTCATTTATTTTTATATTCTTTCACTTTTTTCATTTTCTTGTTAATCAATACAAGTTGTCATTTAAATGATTCGCAATTTTGTTAGACACAGCAAAATTGAATTGGTTTTTATGACAGCGCCTATAGGATTAATTTTTTTTTCAACTACAGTCCATCAGTATTTTCGAAAAATATTCACAACTAACTGGCATTGTGTGAGAGGCATATGAACATTTTCGAAAACAAAAATTATTCATTGGTCTGTGATAAGTGAAGGTCAAGCTAAATTTTGATAAATTTTAAACTACAGCAACAACCACAAGCAAGCAAACCAAACAAAAGATAAACAAACCGAAAAACCAACCCAACCACAAAAAGCAGCTTTTCAAATTAGCGAAAAATTTAAATTATCAGAACGGGACAGATGAGTTTCCAGATAAAATAGCAAAAAGCAAATAAAACTGAAAACAAAAACCAATTCGAGTGCGAAAACTCGAATAAACTGTTCCAATAAAACAAAAGCGGCAACAACAAAGTGCGGTTTCACACAAACACACATAAACGGAATGAACATTTTGCCAGCAGCTGAGAAAATAATTTAGCAAAATTATAACACGTAAAATATTTTGATTCATACTATATATAAACTGAAAGCAGACTTCATTAAACATCAAAGAGAATTGCGTGAGACCGCAATACGTGCAAATCAAAGCCGCAACATCAACAGCAGTAATAGCAACAGCAACAAAAACCGCGGACACAAGCACAGGCCCATCACGCATATATATACGTTTTTGGAGTGGAAAAGCGCGCCATTAAAGTGCAATTGAAAAGATGTTGGCAATGCCCACGCTAATGATGCCAGCAACTGCACAGATGACGCTCAGCAGTCAGCCCCTGTCGGTTGGTGCAGCGCATGCGAAGCCCTACGAAACGAAGCTACTGGCGATCCACCAGACGCACCTTCAACAGCAGCAACAGGCGCCTCAGCAACAGCAGCCGCTCACTGGCAAGCAACAGCAGCAGCAGCAACAGCAGTCGCAGCAAATGTCCATCGTCACAACTCAGCAGCAACAGCAGCAGCAGCAGCAGCAACAACAGCATCCGCAGTCGCAGTCGCCGCATCAGCATCAGCATCAGCAGCAACAGTCACAGCAACAGGCAGTGGCCGCTGCCGCTGCTGCCGCAGCAGCCGCACATCATCAGCAGCAGCAACAGCAGGCCGCAGTTGCTGCCGCCGTCTGTGCCGCCCAACAACAGGCAGTTGCCGTGCAGCAACAACAATATCAGATTCATTCGCAACAGCAGTCGCCGCAGCAGGTGCTCAGCGCCTCCCCGAAGCAGGGTAAGCCATCCAATCAAAATACTCTGATTCTTAGTATAACTTTAAAAGGCACGGTCTGACCTAAACCTAACATGAATTTTTGAAATACAATGTGCACAATCTCTATACCCTGTACAGCAAGGCATTGGTTTTTGGGAATTCATATCAATATCTATAGGGCTAGCGTATTCAGAATCGAGCTTATGAGCTGAATATGTTTCCATATTCCAGAACTGATTTGTTTTTAACAAGCTTAAAAAATAAAAGAATAGATGAACATATTTTCATATAAAAGATGTAAGCGAATAAAATCAAATAAAGTATAAAGCATAGTTGCAACTGAAAACATTTCTTATGGAAGAGTTAAACGAGTTTTCTTTAGTTTAGGTTTATAAATAAATTTCAAAAATATAGAGGAAAATAGTATTTATTTGAATAGTTGTACATGCATGCCTCTTCTGGTTGTCCAAAAAAGTGTATATAATATATTTGTATATTTTCTCTTCATTACAAGTATATACTATACAGTCTGGTGTATGTTTTAGAGGAGTACAAAGAATAAGTATTTCAAATTCAACAATTCAGAAACATTGTAACGAATAATAAAATTGAATGCTAGTTGTTATGATACAAGTATATATATTCATTTGTTAATAATTGAATACATTAGGCTTATTTAAATATTTTCGTTATTATTAATGGAATTATTTTATGAACATTGCTTTTTGAGAAATCTTATGTTTTTAGTTTATTATATTAAGTCCCACATTTACAAAAAACGTAATGATGAGTTTTTTTAAATGATTTCTGTCATACATCGTCCTAAATAATATGTATTTGCGATGACAAAAAAGAATCATTATATTAAAGCTAATATAGTCTAATGCTATAAATTGTAAACTGTTCGCATGAGGCTTAACATGATCGCAACTCCACAGTTAAGTTATATTATTCAGCTCCTTTAAGGAAGAAAATATTTTTATATGAGAGTTTTTTTTTGGATTTGTTGGCTTACTGCCTGTTTAGTTGCTCCGCTGCTTTTGTTATTGAGGCATGCGTGTGCCGGCCTAACCATATTTCCGTTTCAACTCCGAATTAGACTAAGTAGTAGATGGAACAATGTTATTTTTGTTTCTATTTTTTATGGGCGGCAATCAAGGAAGCAAACATGCCTAATCGCTGTCTAATGCTATTTGCGCTAGTTGGCCTCAAAAGGCGGCCACCAAACGATGCCACTACTAGTTGGATGGCATGTTTGTCAAAGTTTACTTTTACTTACGCCCCACGAAGAGAAAGAAATATAAAAACTAACACAGCGTATCAAAATTATAGGGTTTAGGTGTTGTAGTTGTTGCTATTATAGCTGGTCTCGTTGGTACGAGTAGTTGTTGTGTTAAATCAAATAGAAATCAATTTGAAATTATTGACAATTTCCACATTGCCATGGCGCGCTTCATTGAGCTTAGTGGTGGGTGGAGAAGCGGGTGGTGAAGCGGGTGGTGAAGCGGGGATGCGGGGAAGCGAGTTCCGGGCGACAACACCAACGATTTGATTTTGATTTTGTCATAGTTGGCATTGCGACTAAACGAAAGGCAAACAGAGCAGGGAGACAAACAAACATTTAGTATGGCGTGGGAGCCAAACAAATAGTACAAACGAATTGCAGGTTGTTTTTGTAGTGTTTATGTGTGTGTGGGAGTGTGTGTGGGAGTGTGTGTGTGTAACGCCCACAGTGAAAATTCCACTAAGCAAATAGCAGGCCAAGACATAGAGAACGACAAGAACTGAATTCGAGTAAAGTCTGTCAGACGAGACGAGACGAAACTAAACGAGACGACGTCGACGTCGACGTCGACGAGACGACGACAATGCCAATTGTACCAAGTTGAAGTGCAGGCAACGTGACGTATACGTAACGCGCAACACACGTAGCACTATGATTGTCTGGAAGACTACAAACAGCAGGCAGTGAGCAGCAGTAGTCGTAGTCGTTGACCAAAAGTAGCCTGCAAATAGCGCACGGATAGTTTTGAGAATTGAAGCTAAGCCAAGGAAAAGAAAAGTAAAGAAAAGTATCGCAGAGAAAATTGAAAATCGAACTTTTTCAAGTTTGCCGCTGCTGTTGCGTTTGGGAAATTTGTTTTTAAATTTGCAACGGCAATGACGACGACAACAGCAGCACAGTCGAGTGTCTGTTGAAATTTTCAATTGAATTCGTTGTAAGATGGCAAAACAAATTGCCAAAAAAAACAACACAAAAATGGAAAAAAAAATACGAAAATAAAGCTAAAAAGAAAAAGTTGTCGAGGACAACAACGACACGGGCGACTGAGGGTGGCAAGAAACTAAAGGCAAACAGACAAAGGCGCATTGCAAGCAACAACAACACCAAGAATTTGGCTTATAAAGTGGCCGTCTGCTCGCAATTCCTTCCGTCCGCGCCTTGGCCTGCCGCCCTTTGTTAAAGTCTAAGGACATTGACTGATGCGATTGCCAGGCGTTGGCACAGCTGCCAGGCATTGGTGTTGTTGTCGCCAGTCGTAGGTGTCAGTTGTTTAGGTGAACTTAAAAACAGGTGATCGATTTTCCGTCTCCTCGCCATCATCAGAGGACAAGAGCAAATTTATTAAAGCACAATAAAAAAATATGATTTTAATGCGGCCCCGGCTCAGCGACAACGCCTAACAATAAAACGATAAAAAACCAACGTCACCTTAATTTATTTAAATATATACACTGTTAATGGCTGCTTATATAAGGTGCATTCTATTTATTTTTGCCATTTGTCGCCGCGTAAATTAATTTTGACATTGTGCGCATTTTTAATTCATTCAATAAATAAGCATATTAAATATTATTAAATTTCAACGTTGGGTATGCGTTCACAACACAAACACCAAATTCAATTTATAGCTACGGCTATAATGATTACGTGTCTGCGGCTGATTCCCAGAATCCACACACAAACATAAATGACAAGCACGAAAATTATTTTAATATTTAAGCTCAACGCACGATTGGATTATAAAAAATGAAGCTTTAATGCTAAGTGTAGAAATTTGTTAAGCTTCACAGAAAATTGGGGGATTTCCTATACAATTCTGGCTGCATAATATCAGACAGAAAGCTGGAACTTAATATGAAATAATTGATGGTAAAGCTGTAGAAAATAGAGAGATTTCTAAAATATTGTTATAATAATTCAGAAATAGCCACTTGTTTAAAATCATAAACGGCGCTTGAAAACAGCTAATAGCTTCAATTTAGAATTACTTTAAATATTTGGACGCCATTTTTTCAGAGCAAAGAAAGTATTTAAAAATATATGTTTATTTAACAATATCCTTAGCATTGCAAGGCAACTCAAGAAGTATTATTATTTCCTAAGCTTAGCATTATCTCTTTTCGTAAACTGTACTTAAATATTGTAGAAATATAAACTTGTCATGCAAGAACTACTTTTGTTGTGTGAACGATAAAAGCATAAATATGTTAGCTTTTTAGAGGAATGCTTCTCATTTTTCGGAGTCTCTGAGTCTCATAATATTATGTTAGTAATAAGGTATTTAGCTATAATACATATATAATATTCAAACTGATAGCTTTAACAGTTCAAAAAGCATGTGTTTAAAATAAATGTTCTGTAAAATGAATACAAAACAATTGGTTGTAGCATTTGGCAATTTCAGTGCAAAAGTTTGAATATCCTTTGTTTGCTTCAATCAGCATCAAATAATTAATCAACATTAAATAAATATTTCACTTTTCGTTTGCGCAACGAGTGCAAACAAACTATACAGCAATTGATTTTAATTGTATTTCGATTGCTGCAGTCGGCAAATATAATTTTGCAACAAAAAATTAAAGAAACTACAACTATTAAATACTTTCCCTTTCCCCCAATCAAGGACTTAACAAAGGCATCGACAATTGCACGACTGACTGGCTTGCCACACAAATAATGGCTTGAACGATGATGTCGATAATGTGGGTGCCGACAATAACGATGATAATGCCGTTGATGCTTATAATGATTATTATTATTGGCAGTCGGCACGTCACACAAATCGAATGCCACTATATACTAGTGGTAGTAGAATGCCAAAGACGTGCAAGGCGCTCCTTGCATACTGAATGCATTTTGTCAACCTGTTTGCTGACTGCCTGCCTGACTGCCAGCCTTCGTTTGGCCCATTATTGTCATTATTGTAGCCTTTAAGTATGCTTTGCTCTATTATCTAGACACACACAGACACCCACACCGACACCGACACACATGCGCTACTAACGAGCAACCTCAACTGCCATCATCTAATGGCGGACGCCTGTAGTTATGCTTTAAATATTTGCCACGTTTTCAGTTCAGCAGCCAGCCATGCAGGCACTCAGGCAGGCACTTTTTTTGCCATTTAGACGATGGCGCTGGTGGCGTCTGCTGCTCAATGGTTTTTAAAATTGAAAACCATAAATCAATTGCCTAGGCCAGGGGGATAGTTTGTCGCCTGGGTCGTCGTAGTCTTTGTTGTTGTTGGTTGCTTGGCTGGTTGGTTGGTTGGTTGGTTGACTGGGCAGTCGTTTCCTTTCCATCTGCGCTTCCACTCTTTGTGACAAGCATTGTTGCAGCTGCTGCAGCTGCTCTTTTGACCATTGCTGCTGCTGCTGCTGTTGCTGTTGCTTTGCGCTTTTTCTTATGGGCTTTCATTTATTTGCTATTAACCTGTCATTGTTCATTTTTATTATTGTGTGGTTTTTTACTTTCGTCCGTTCGCTCTCTTTGTTTGCTTTTGTTGCTGCTGTTGTTGTTGCTGGCATTGCCGTTGTGTCCCGCGGCATTTTCCGGCACTTGGCAGTTGTGCACATGTGGACTGCGTATGTATGTGTGTAGGTATAAATGTGTGTGTGTGTGCATGAGTGCAATAAATTGTTATTATCGCCACATTGCAGCTTGTCGTCTTTCACAGCCATGTCCTGCATCCCTTCGCCACCACACAATGCAGACGATTTATAACTCTTATTATTAA